CGCGACGGGAATATCCTAGCCGGTCTTCGCGGAGAGAAGCGATGGCGTCTAGCAGTAACTGGCTGTCCGGAGTGAATGTTGTGCTTGTGATGGCATACGGGAGCCTGGTGAGGAGATCCCCACTCCATTCCTGCTGTGGCGTCTGTCCCCGGCGAGAGCCTCCTCCTGAGCTCTCCCTCGGCCACTTGCTTTGCTTCCTAGGTTTTGATTATATCCATAGACTGCCTGAGGACTGGAAGTCAAAGCTGCCCGCCCCTGGCCGAGAAACCTCCCTCTTAAATTCTAGGGCCCAGTTAACACGCCTCCCTGCCACTTTCCCTAGACCCACCCCCATCCTTAGCGACCTAAGCTTTATCCCACAGTATCCTGCCCTCAGAGCCTCAACTCAGGGATTTTGAATGTTAACTTAATTATTGTAATTATTAAAGGTGGTTCTAATCTTTTTGGGCAGGTATTTGTACTGCTGTTTATTTTTGTGAAGAGACAAATCATGCGCTTTGCAATGAAATCTAGAAGGGGACCTCATGTCCCTGTGGGACACAATGCTCCCAAGGTAGGTCCATAGGGCGCAAGGTAAACCTGATTCTTTTCGATATTTAGGCACAAGATTTTCTCTGACTTTACAAGATGACTTTTTCATATATTTTATGTCCAATTACTTTTCTCTTTCCCCCTCATAAACTAAGCAATAACTGCCTGCGGGCTTGGCTCAACTTGCTGGCAGCTGCTGCACAACGTGTACTATAAGAACTAAACCAATTTAACTATAAAGTGTTTCGTGTTGCTTTATTTTAGCATGATGTTGGGAATGGTTGCAATTCACTCCAGAGCTGTAAGAATAATTGCCTTTGGAGAATTTTAAAGATGCCATATTGCTTGCCTAGAATGCATAAGAATCTGGGTTTGATCCCTGACACTACAAAAAGGAGGAGGGGAAAACATTAATCACTTAGTTCCACCCTTCTTGTCAACTCTAAGGAAGGAAGCAAATTACCTACCTCTTTAATTTTGTTATTGGTTTTCTATTTTGAGATATATATGTATCCCAGGCTAGCCTTGAACTCAAGATGTAACCCAAGATGGCTCTCCGTGTAGTCCTCCTGCCTGTACCATACAAGTGCTGAGACTACTAAAATAATATGCCACATTGGACTACATTAATCAGGGCTGGAGAGATGACTCAATGGTTAAGAGCACTGGCTGCTCTTCCAAAGGACCTGAGCAATGGCAGCTCACAACTCCTGTTCTAGGGGATCTGACACCCTCCCACAGACATACATGCAGGCAAAACACCAATGCACATAAAATACAAATAAATAATTTTAAAAAATCATGCTGGGCATGGTGGTGTATACCTTTAGTCCCAGCACTCAGGAGGCAGAAGCAGACTGATCTGTGTGAGTTCAAGGCCAGCCTGGTCTACAGAGTAAGTTCCAGGATAGTCAGGGCTACACAGAGAAACCCTGTCTCGAAAAAAGAAAAAGTACATAATCATGCCAGGTGTGTCGGTGCACACCTTTATTTTTTTGATATATTATTTAGTCATCAAGCATACAGTGCTGTCCACATGCATGAGTGCACCCTAGAAGAAGACATCAGATCCCATTATTGAAGGTTATGAGCCACCATGTGGTTACTGGGAATTGAACTCAGGATGTCTGGAAGACAGCCAGCGCTCTTAACCTTCAAGACATCTCTCCAGCATGGTGCACACCGTTAATCCCAGGACTCAGGAGGCAGGGCAAGCAGATCTGTGAGTTGGAAGCCAACCTGGTCTACAGAGCAAGTTCCAGGACAGCCAGGACTACATAGATAAATCCTGTCTTGAAAAATAAATAAAATAAAAAGTAAATAATCTAGTAGTGTCTTAACTTTCTCCTTAAGTGCTTTCCTTCTTTTCTTGGCTTTAAGGAAAGGTGTCTTCTAATGAAACTTTGTCTCTCTGAGAAATCTGTTGGGATATATAACTGCCACCTGAAATTAAAACTTAGATTTCAAATGGACGTTTCGATTCTAATATACATAAATCCAAAGTCTTATGTGTGTTTGTGTGGAACCTGAGTGTGGCATCTCTGTCTTCCTCAGTTGCTCTCCATTTTAATTTTGGAGACAGAGTCTCACACTAAGCTTGGAGCTTTCCAGTTTGGATAGACTGGCTGGCCTGTCCCCATCTCCTTTGAAGTCTTTTTGTTGGTGGTTGGTAGATCTCCTATATCCTGGTCTAGAGCTAGATGTGTAGATAAACATGACATTGGACTCCTGAGCCTCCTGCTTCCGGCTCCCAAGTACAGATGTTACAGGTGTGCACCACCACTCCTGGTTTTTGTGGTGCTGGAAATTGAACCCAGGACCTGGTGCATGCCAGACAAGCACCCTCTATCAGCTGAGATAACATCCCCGGTTCTAAACCAGAATCCCTGATGTCCCATTGCCATCCTCATCATACTTTTACTTTTTAGTAAAAGACAACTGACTTTACCAACTTTTCTATGACTCTCCGTGTTACCAGCATCAAGCTCTACTTAGTGAATTTTATAAATTTACACATGCTGTCACTGACCTGAAATGGTCTTCACTTGGCTGACTCATTCATTCATTCATTCATTCATTCATTCATTCATTCAGTGTGTGTGTGTGTGTGTGTGTGTGTGTGTGTTTTGAGACGATGGTCTCTGTAACCCAGGCTAACCTCTAGAACTTAATGTATAGCCAAAGATGGCCTTGAATTCCTGAGTGCTGGAATTACAGGCATTTGTGGAAATACCCAGGTCCTTAGCCCAGACCTCACTTTAAAAGTTATTTCCTCAAGAGAAGAATGCATGTTACATATTTTGTTTTTGTTTTCCCGAGGCACGGTTTCTCCATATAACAGCCAGCCCTGGCTGTCCTGGAACTTGCTTTATAGGCCAGGCTGGCCTGAAACTCACAGAGCCACCTGCCTCTGCCTCCCGAGTGCTGGATTTAAAGGCTTGAAACACCACACCCAACACATTACTTATTTTTTAATTATTTATTTGTATGTTATGTACATTAGTGTTTTGCTTGCATATATGTCTGTGTGAGCATGTTGGATCCCCTGGAACAGGGGTTACAGACAGTTCTGAGCTGCCATGTGGGTGCTGGGAATTGAACTCAGGTCCTCTGGAAGAGCAGCCAATACTCTTAACCATTGAGCCGTCTCTCCAGCCCCCATATTACATATTTTAATGCAAGCTTCTTCCTATTCTTATGGTACCTTGAATTTCTCGTAACAATGCCACAGTGTCCTTTATGTTGGTTAAAACATGCTTCCTTTTTCAGTAGACTATAAATCTTGAGATTTCTGACACTTTGGAGATGTGTCTCAGTGATCCCTCACACTAGGTCCTTGTACATAGGAAGGAGGTAGTCAATAACTTATTTAGTGAGAAATAGGAAGTGGTAGAACTAATGCTAACACGTGATTCCTTTATTCCTGAAGCATGTTCTTTCCTTAACTGGTATTGTTTCCCATGTGCTAATTCTGGCATAGTGGAAAGGCTGAAGGAAGATGCAATGGACTGGAATGTCAACAGTGCTCTTTCCACTGGGCCATTTGAAAGGACATAGGGATTGGTTTCCAGCAGATGACAAATTAAAGCTTAGCTATTTAGTAGCCTCTAGACTACATGATATCAAAGTTCCCTTACCTTATACCCTTATACATACATATATGGACATATTCATATGTATGTATATATATAGAGAGAGAATATCTATTTTTTTTTTTTTTTGGTTTTTCGAGACAGGGTTTCTCTGTGGCTTTGGAGGCTATCCTGGAACTAGCTCTTGTAGACCAGGCTGGTCTCGAACTCACAGAGATCCACCTGCCTCTGCCTCCCGTGTGCTGGGATTAAAGGCGTGCGCCACCAATACCCAGAGAGAATATCTAAATTCTTATCCTTTGGTACTGAAAGTTGTTACAATAAATCTTTCTGCCAAATGCCGCCTGAGCCCCACCGCCACGTGTGAGCTTTACGCCAGCCACCTGCCCGAGTTAGGCCCAAATGAATACACAGAAACTTGTATTAGGTTCAATACTGCTTGGCCAAGAACATAGTCAATCTCTTATTAAAGAAGGAAAATGAATACTTTGCATTGGTATAGATTTCATTTATTGATACAACTTTAAGGTCAATTTTGTGATAGGTATATGTCTCCTCTTGTTTAGGTATGGTGTTTATTCAGATCTTTTACCTTTAATAGTCAGAACTTATAATTAGGTTAGTTAGGTATTCTTCAAACCTTTCAAAGACCTACAGAAATATGGCATTTAAATGGTTTAGGGTTTTCTTGGCAGTGAGACACAACTGCTCCTGGCACAACAATTACATCAGAAAAGAGGATGGGCATCTAAGAAACTCGCTATGGAGTTTGCTTTCAACATGGCAAGATTAGCCATTTGGGCAAGAAACTGCTCTTTCTTGGACTGTTGCTGAATAAACTGGACATGCAGGACCCACAAGAAAGTGACTGCTGAACTTACAAAACAAGACAGTACTGAAGGGTTCCCGTTAAAATGGAGAAATGTGCTAGACACACTGTGGCGTATTAGGCTGAAGATGGATGCCCCAACGTTACAGAGAAACTTTGGGTGACTGTCCAGGTAGCGAGATGTCTTTGTCAATTCTAGAGTTTATATATTTTCCTTCTGTGGTCTTTGATGGAGTTGAAGACAGATAGTTATAGTTTTCTTCAGTTATTATAAAAGATAAGTTATCCTTTTATTTAGACAGAAAAGAGATGATGGGCAATGTACTGTGTATGTTCATCTTATTGATTGTTAAATAAAATACTGTTTGGCCAATGAGACAGCAATTTAGACGGAACTAGGAGTCAAAGAGGGTTCTGGGAAATGTAGTGGAGAAGTGCTGATCCAGACAGGAAGTGACATGGCAAGGGATTCATATTTAATTGAAGGAGAAAAAGGAAGGGTCTCTTTTCCCCTCCAGCCCCCATATTACATATTTTAATGTAACATAATCCTGCTTCAGCGGCACGATATGATCCACCAGCAAGGAGGGACGCCAATAAGGCATCCGATAAGTCTTATAAAATATATAGATTTATGATAATTAAGACTGAGCTAACAGATGAGGAATCCTAGTCATTGGCCAAGCAGCATTGAACCTAATACAAGTTTCTGTGTATTCATTTGGGCCTAACTCGGGCAGCCGGCTTGTGTAAAGCTCACACGTGGCAGTGGGCTCAGGCAGTTTATGGTGGAAAGATTTATCGTAACAAAGTATAAATTAATAAAACCACTTGGAAATGGTTGGACATTATGTAGTAGAAATACATATAGCTCTCTAATCCTTGACCCAAGATTCTGTCCTAGAATAAAACAAACTTCCTTGAACTCTGGCATCCCCTAAGGTTAGACGGATTGCTAACTGTCTAACCTTAGGGGTTAGGTAGTGTTGGTTGCTTCTGAATGTATAAGGACTGATTGGCACATTAAGTAATTTTTAGTACTTTTTTTTCCTTACCTTGACAAAGTCTTACTCTGTAGCCCTGGCTGGATTGGAACTCCATTTGGCCCACGCTGACCTTGAACTTGAAGCAGCCCTCCTGTTTTAGCTCTCAAAGTCTTTATGGCACACCAGGTGGAATAGTCTACAAACTTTTATAGATCATATGCATACAAGTTTCTTTATACATTTTTAGAGTGGATTATAACTTCTCATGGTTCATTTTTTTTCTCAACTCAGGAAGATTTTTCATTTTTCGAGACAGGATTTCTCTGTGTAGCTTTGGAACCTGTTCTGGAACTTGCTCTGTAGACCAGGCTGGCCTCAAACTCACAGAGATCCACCTGCCTCTGCCTCCCAAGTTTTGGGATTAAAGGTGTGCACCACCACTGCCCCACAGAAAGTTCTTTATAACAAGATTCTAAATGAGAAATAATGTTGGTATTCAACCTAAAAAAATTCTGGCAAGTTAAACGACTTGGCTTAGGGGTTGATGAGATGACTCAGCAGTTATGCGCTGTTACTGTCCAATCATTAGGACTGGAGTTCTGATCCAGCACCCATGTTACAAACCTGGGGTCCCCCGTACCCATGTAATCCAACTGTGAAGGTAGCAGAGACTAAAGGATTGCTGAGACTTGCTGGCTTCCAGCCTCCATGAGAAAATGCAAGGCCTTGGGTTGGGCAAGAGTGACAGAGGAGGACATGATGGCACGCACAACCACTCAGGTGCATGTATAACTCACAGACACGTACAACACACAAGTAAGTCTTCAAAAGCAAAAAACCAGGTGAGGTGTTATGTTCCTTTAATCCCAGCACTCCAGAGGCAGGTGGTTCTCTGTGAATTTGAGATCAGCCTGGTCTACACAGTGAGTTTCAGGACAGCCAAGGTACATAGATCATGTCTCAAAAATCCAGAGAGAGAGAAAGATTTGACTTTGAAATGTATGTTAGAGAATCCCAAACCCATTCTTAGATTTCATCTTAGTTTACATGCTCTGGATCTGTTACAGATTGTTAGTGAGCAGATTACAAGGTAATGCTATTGTCTTGTTTCCTCTGAATGCACAGGACTTAAAAGAGGAGATTGATATTCGACTATCCAGGGTTCAGGATATCAAGTATGAACCCCAGCTCCTTGCAGATGATGATACAAGACTACTGCAGCTGGAAACCCAAGGGAATCAAAGTATGTGACAGGCTCTTGGTGGATGTTTCAGTGAGGAGATCCATAGCTTTAGAACTCCTGTACCATTAGAATTATAACAACTGTCTGTAATCTTGGGATATTTTGAGAATAAAAGCTGAGACTAGTTTTTTGTTGTTGTTTTCAGCAGGTTGCTACAACTATCTGTACAGGATGAAAGCTCTAGATGCCATCCGTGCCTCTGGTAAGTTAGTTGATAAGGGGTACTCTAGAACCTAAACCTAGGGAACAGAATGATGAGCCACCTTGTTAAGATTTGTCCTTTTGTCACAGTGGCTCAGAGGTTAAGGGCACCAGCTGCTCTTCTAGAGGTTCTGAGTTCAATTCCCAGAAACCTCATGGTGGCTCACAACCATCTGCAATGAGAACAGATGTCCTCTTCTGGTCTGCAGATAAATGCAGGCAGAACACTGTATATATAATAAAAATACATACATACATACATACATACATTACATACATACATACATACATAAAAGATTTGTCCTTTTGTGCATCGTGGCTACAGGGAATTTCCTAGAGTCTTGATAATCAGTTTGGGTATCCAAGTGTGGTGGTGTACGCCTTTAATCCCACAGCTCAGGAGACCGGCAAGCAGATCTCTGAGTTAAAAGCTAACCTGGTCTACATACAGAGTTTTAGGACATATAAGGATAGCTTCATAGAGAGATTCTTTCTCAAAAAAAGAGATAGTTGGATAATTAATTATTTGTTGATTTTCAAGGTAGAGTTTCTCTCTTAGTAGCCCTGGCTGTCTTAGAACTCACTCTGTAGACCAGGCTGGCCTCAAACAGAGATCCACCTGCCTCGGTCTCCAAGAGGTCCTAGGTTCAATTCCCACCAACCACATAATGGCTCACAACCATCTATAATGAAATTTGGTGCCCTGTTCTGGCGGAATACTATCATATATCTTAAAGACAAGATAGCCAAATAGTATAGAATAAAAAGGATGTTAATGCATAGAGTTTAGAATTGTGTAGCCACTGTCCAAATGACCACTTGGGCATAGCTGTATTCCTCGAATCTTAATTTTATTAGAAACTGTTTTCAACTCATTCATGCCATTAGACGTAGTCTTATTAGTGTATATTAACTTTGCAAAATAGAGGTTTCATGATGATAATTGAAGATATTTTTGATAGGTTTTTTGTTTTGTTTTGTTTTTGCTTTTTGAGACAGGGTTTCTCTATATAGCACTGGCTGTCCTGGAACTTGCTCTGTAAAATAGGCTGACTACGAACTTTTAAGATATCTGCCTGTCTCTGCTTCCAGAGGCAGAGGTTGTTGCCACCACCACCAAGTTTAATTAGAACTATTTCTAAATTTGGAAAATTAACTAGAAAAAAAGACAGGTAGATGAGTTATCATTCTCCTGTTGTCTCCTCAGAGATCCCATTTCATGCTGAAGGCCGGCATCCCTGTTCTTTAATGGGTAAGAATTTCCGCTCCTATTTGCTAGATCTACGAAACACTAGCACTCCTTTCAAGGGCGTACGCAAGGCGCTTATTGATACCCTCCTGGATGGATATGAGACAGCCCGCTATGGAACAGGGGTAAGTTGGACAGTCAGTTTTTCCTTCAAAGAACTAAAGGGATGGAACATTCCAGACAATGAGACTGATTTTTCCTTTCTCTTTCCTAAGGTCTTTGGCCAGAGTGAGTACTTGCGGTATCAGGAGGCCTTGAGTGAGCTGGCCACTGTGTGAGTATGGTGGGGCATGTCAGTGAGGGCTACTTAGACATAGAAGTACAGTAGGGAGAAGGATCACAGGGTCTAGACCAGCCCCTGCTACGTAGCAAGACCCTGTCTCTAAACAAAGTATAAAAGAATATACAAGTGCTAAACTGTTCTCATAGAACTTATCAAATTAACAAGCAGATATTTTGTGCTATAGGCTAGTAAAAGAAACTTCTACTTTGTATGCATATTGTGGTCATTATTTTTTATTTTTGCTTTGTGTTTTGTTTTTTGTCTAGCCCACTAAAATGTCAAAATGGTATGAGTGTGGTGATGCAGGCCTTTAATACCAGCACTTAGTAGACAGAGGCAGGCAAATCTCTGGAAGTTGAATAGCAACCTGGTCTACATAGCTAATTACTAGACACCCCGGGCTGCACAGAGAAACTCTGACTCAAAAACAACAAACAAAAGGTCTGGAGAGATGGCTCAGAAGTTAAGAGTACTGGCTGCTCCTGCAGATGACCAGGGTTGGATCCCCACCGTCCACATGGTATTTCACAACCATTTGTAATTCCTGTTACAGTGGGATCTGATGCCCTCCTCTGGCCTCCACAGGAACGTAGCATGTATATAGTGCACAGACACACATGCAGTCGAAACACCCATACACTGTAAATAAAAATAAACATCTTTTTTAAATGTCAAAAATGGTATAGCTAACAAAGGAATGAAGTTTTTCAGCACATAAGGATTCCTTCTGCTCTAGGGTCCTCTTTTTGTTCCTTTTGATCCAATAAAAGTAAGAATTAAATTCCACCCAACTTTTTTTTAACCATGTAAAATAACCCTGCCTATTTTTTTCCCCCTCTTTTCTTTGGAGACAAGGTTTCTCTGTGTAACAGCTCTGGCTGCCCTGGAACTTACTTTGTAGACCAGGCTGGCCTCGAACTCACAGCGATCCACCTGCCTTTGCCTCTCTCAATCGCTGGACTACATAATATACACCAACTGGGGACCAAATTATTCAAACCAAAATAACATACAAAGCTAGAAAAGAGCATTTGGTTTATATATTAGGCAAGGGGTCTGGAGAGATGGCTCAGTTTTTATAAGAGTGCTTGCTGCTCTTCTATAGGCCCAGAATTTAGTTCCCAGCATCCATGTCAGACAGTTCATAACTGCCTGTAACTTAAGCTCCAGGGGATCCAACACTTCTTCTGGCCTCCAAGGGCACATACAGGTAGCCTACATTCGTATAGACATATACACATAAAGCAAAAATAAAAATAAACCTTTAGGAGCTGGAGAGATGCTTAGCAATGAAGAGTACTTAGCTTCTTGTGGAGTACCTGTGCTATTGGCTATCATTCATTCACATTGGGTGGCTCACAGTGGGCAGTCCAGGTGATGTGACCACTAACTTCTGACACCTTTGGGCTCCTGCACATGTGTGGTGCACATAAACTTGTAGGCACATACACATGAATAAAAAATCTTGAAAATTAGGCAGGAAACCTGTTAAAAATTCACTTGAGACCAGCACACCTTTAATCCCAGCACTCATGAGGCAGAAGCAGGTGGATCTCTGCGTTCATGGTCATCCTGGTCTACAGAGTGAGTTCCAGGACAGCCAGGACTACACAGAGAAACCCTGTCTCGAAAAAACCCCCCAAAAAAAAAAAGAAAAGAAAAGAAATCACTCGAATTATAAATGCTGATTTCACTTACATGATCTAAGTAGTCAGAATCATACAGGATATAGAATAATAGTTGCTAAGACCTGGGAAGGTAAGAAAGCATTATTTAATCAACATAAACATTAGTTTTGTAAATTGGAAAGCATTTTGAAGATTGGCTGTACAACATTGTGATTGTACTTAACATTATTGAAACATGTACTTTAAAATAGTCAAGATGCAGCCGGGTAGTGGTGGCGCACGCCTTTAATACCAGGCACTTGGGAGGCAGAGGCAGGTGGATCTCTGAGTTCGAGATCAGCCTGGTCTACAAAGAGCTATTTCCAGGACAGCCTCCAAAGCCACAGAGAAACCCTGTCTTGAAAAAAAAAAAACAAAAATAAATAAATAAATAAACAAATAAATAAATAAATAAATAAATAAAATAAAATAGTCAAGATGCATTTCCAGCCAATCATAGTGATGCACACCTTTAATCCCAGTACTTGGTAGGCAGAGGCAGGTGGATCTCTGTTTGAGGCCAGCCTAGTCTACAGAGTAAGTGCCAGGACAACCAGGACTACATAATATACATAAAGAAATTCTGTCCAGGAAACAACATTTCCTTTTTTTTTTTTTTTTTTTTTTTTTTTTTTTTTTTTTTTTTTATGCTTTCTTGCTAGAGCCAGGTATGATAGCCCACTTCCTGTAAGGCCAGCCTAGTCTGCATAGTAAGACCCTTTCTTTCCCTGCTCCCTCCCCACACCCAAAAAAAGGAAGGATTATGATAGAAATAAGGACTTAATTTTTTTCTTCTGCCATCCCTAAATTATCAAATGGTTTTAGTATTGAGTTGTTTGGGAGTTTGTTGTGGGGTTCATTTTGTGCGCACATACAAGCATTGGGGAGGGGGGTGTGCGCACATGCGCGCATGGTCATGCACTCTTGAGTGTGTAACGAACGGATAGGCAGACTGGCGTTGAATTTGTGATGATATTTCTGTCTCCTGGAATTACAGGTGTGTGCTGTACCTTGCTTAGTACCTTGCTTAGTAACTGGTAAACTACATAAGAGATCATCTTAGCTTCATTTATGGGGTGAATTTTAAGATTTATTTTTTAGTTATGTGTAAGTATATGCAGAGGTTCTGGCCTGGTGCTAGTTACAGACACCTGACATGGTTGCCAGGAAGTGAACTCTGGTACTCTGGAGTAGCAGTATGTGCTTTGCAGCCCCTTTTCTGCTAGTTCTCATTTTGTTCATGTCTTCTGTGTATTCTTCAGGGTCAAAGCACGAATTGGGAGCTCTCAGAGACAGCACCAATCAGCAGCCAAAGACCTAACTCAGTCACCTGAAATGTCGCCAACAACCATCCAGGTCACATATCTCCCCTCCAGTCAGAAGAGCAAACGTCCTAAGCACTTCCTTGAGCTGAAGAGCTTTAAGGACAACTATAACACATTGGAGAGTACTCTGTGATGGAGCTGCAGATGCTAACTGTGCAGTCTTCGAGCTATCTGACTCTGCGGGCGGGCCCAGACTTACCAGCCAATGCTTCCATTGAAGCCAGAGTTCCTACAGAGCTGTGTCTGAAAGGTCATTCCCCAGCCCTTTCTTAGAGGCGTTTTCAAATATTGGCTAAGACATTATTATCTCCCAGTAGCCCTTTTTCTGGATTTGAATTCAAATGACATTAATGTTTGTGTCAAAGCCTCCTTGAAGATCTTTACTTGTTTTTGGCTGTAATTCACTTACCTTGTGCAATGCTATTTAGTCCCAGAGTGTAAATTGAGATGTCTTCTATGTCTACCCTGTTGCACTCAGTTGGATAGAAATATTTGGATTTAGAGCATCTCAGGTTTGATTGATGGAAAGGCCCAGCAGTTCCTCATGAGGAAGCGGGAGGGAGGAAGTGGGTGGAATGTCCTCTGGAATTTTGGTGCTCCATTTAAACCAGGTATATTAAGACATGAACATGACTTTCCTGAAGTGGAAGGATCTGTCCTGCCTTCACCCAATACTGTTTTGACAATTAAAAAGGAATGTTCTGGCACTTCCACATAACCTATGCCAAGATGGTAAGACAGCATGAAGTGGTTTTCTCTAATGTCAGCATATTAGTCTCAGTTTACAAATATATTTAATAAAATTAATTTAAAAAAATTTTTTTTCTTCTTTTGGAGACAAGGTTTCTCTGTGTAGCACTGACTGCCCTGGAACTAGCTTTGTAGACCAGGTTGGCCTCAAATTCACGTAGATCTACTTGCCTCTGCCTCTAATGCTAGGATTAAAGGAGAGTGCCACCACCTCCAACAATGAATCCTTTCTTTAGAATGGGCTTTAGAACAACAGACATTTGATGTGTGTCTGCATTTCCCTTACAGAACATAGGGTGTGAAGCTTTGCCGCCAGAAACTGGTTGGACTGTGTATCTGGATCTAGACATTGCAGGTAGTCTGAAATTCTGAAATAGGGACTGTGTCGCTCATCCTCATAGCCTAGCCTTGTCACTAATAGAAAGCTGGAGAACCAGGATTCCCTTTAGGTTGCCAGGGCAACAGGCCAAGTAGCCAGTCAACTCCCAGGACCAGGGTCATTGTTGGATGCCTAAATGTTACTATGACTACTGAAACCTTGGTGACCAAACTAAACAGAAAGGAGAGCCTTCCCAGTGGCCTCAGAAAATCAACCATGTCTATAGATATGTCTACGGAAAAAATGACAAAAGTAGAAGAGGTATGCAGAGTTGGAAGGAGGGTTGGAAGTTGGATGAGTTTCCCTTGACGTGGTTTCCAGGTGGGTTTACCCAAAGTACAGCATTCCTGAGAAAGGCTTGGTAGAATGCAGGAGAGTTAGCAAAAACAAGAAACCACTTTTGGAACAGGAGTTGTTCACAAATGTCCCACTCTGACCCCTGTATATTCTTTTCTGTCTGTTCTGAGAAATGTAGAGCTTTCCCACTTCCCCCTAGGAAACTACTTCATTCATCAAACATAGGTACTATGCTCAGATTCTAGTAATGAAGGCAAATGAACAGAACTCACTTCTGTTGCAGAATTTGCAAAGAGACGCGGCACTTCAGAAGATGGTCAACAGGTAATCTGTGTTTCCATCTCCTCCCATCAGTTTGTCTTTTCGACTCTCCACTCCCTGAGCCACCACCCAAATCAGCTCTCCTTGGGGACTCAAGAAAGAAAACATGAAGCAAACGGGGCAGCCTTGTTCTCGGAGTAACCGGAGATGAGCATGTTAATGCCTACTGGATGACCCTGTTTGTTTCTATGCCCACTTCCCAAGCTTTTCAGGAAAGGCACAAGTGTTTGTTCTGCCTTTCTTTTTTCTTTCTTTCTTTCTTTCTTTCTTTCTTTCTTTCTTTCTTTCTTTCTTTCTCTCTGCCTCCCTCTCTCTCTCTCTTTCTCCCTCTCTCTCTCTTTCTCCCTCTTTCTCCCTCTTTCTCTTTCTCCCTCTTTCTCTCTCTCTCTCTCTCTCTCTCTCTCTCTCTCTCTCCCTTTCTTTCTCTTTCTTTCTTTTTAAACATACTTGCCTGGCTTTGTACTAATTAAATAGCAGGTATTTCAATAGATGTTGGACAACTGACACAATACCCAGAAGATTGAACCTCATATTTCACCAGCTAAGATTTTAGTTTTGGTGCATTTGGGTATTGAATCCAGGGCTTTGTGCATGGAGGTGTTTTACCACCAGCTATACCTCCAACCCTGAGCATTTTTAAAAAAATGCTGGCAGAAGCAGGGCATGGGGGCTCATACCTATAATCCCAGTACTTGGATGAGCATGAATCTAAGGCCAACCTAGGTTACAGTGTGATTGATACACTCTCAAAAAGCCCCAAAGGGAGGCCCAATATGGTGGGTGGTATATGCTTTTAATCTCAACACTAGAGAGGGCAGAGACAGGTGGATCTCTTGAGTTTGAGCTCATACTAGTCTACATAATTCCAGGGAATCAGGGTTATATAGTGAGACATTCTTAGTGAGAGAGGTAGTTGGTGGTGGCACAGGCAGTTCACTGGTAGATTGCTTGCCTAGCATGCACAGAACCTTGGACTTAATCTCCCAGCATTCAGGAGATACAGATAGAGGCAACAGAAGTTCAAGTTTAGCTACATAGTGAGTTGGAGGCCAGTATGGGCTACATGAAACTGTCTTTTTTTAAAAAGGTAGATGGGCTGTGGTGGCACACGCCTTTAATCCCATCACTGTGGAGGCAGAGGCAGAGGCAGGCAGATCTCTGAGTTGGAAGCCAGCCAGAACTACACAGAGAAACCCTGTCTTGAAAAACAGAAGGTAAAGGTTAGGAACAATGAACTGAGACCCAATTCTTAATGACCTAGGTGACACAACTTTGCATTTCCTTTTGTGTGCACTGTAACAGCTGACAGCTCTGCCTCTTGTCCATGATACAATTTAGTAACAGTGCACTTACACTTAAGTCAGTTCTAGCTACCCTTTCAAGAACTTTGCAGTCTTCTGGCAGTGACAGAGGTTCTGTCACAAAGCAACCACATTAGTAAGGATTTGTCTCTACCCTAACTCTCACCCACTTAATCCCCACCCCTAACCCTGGGACAGGTGGAAGAATTCACATACTCACTGTATGTGGCAGATGACATTGAGTCACCGGAGAGACCTGTATGCTACCCTAAGGATGCAGGATGATATGGAACAGGAATTAGTAATGGCCAACAAACAGCTGCTGATGGTGAGTTTTAGTAGGGCAACTCTACTCTCTCTACTCCCCTGCCAGCTGGCGTAGCAAGCTCTTCTATCATGACTTAACCATATTGTTTGCCTCTGAGACTTCTCATGATTTTTATCAGAATGTTAATATCAAATGTCAAAGCTCTTTCAATAAGTGATTTTTTAAAAATTTTTGCATTATTTGCAGATGGCACTCCTTGTTTAGTTTTGGGTTTAATGAAGCTTTGTTTTCTTGGGTTCTTTGGGTTGGGTTGGGTTTTGTTTGAGTTAGTCTCACTGTGTACCCCTTGCTGACCAGAAACTTGATATGTAGACTAGGCTGGCCTTCATGAACTAAGAGCTCTCCACCTGCCTCTGCCTTCTACAAGCTAGAATTAAAGTACACCACCAGTACACACCCAGCCAGGGGGATTATTTTATGTATTTATTTTTGAGACAAGGTCTTGCTCTGCATCCCAGGATGGCCCGAAACTTGCTGACATCCTGTTTCAGCCTCCCATATGCTGAAATTAAAAACATGTCCCATCACCCAGCTGTAGGTGACACATTTCCAAGTCCCAATGCATTACTTTGCTCTTTTCATCCAGCTTCTCTTCTCCACCTGGCGTGTCAATTGCTATGTCACCTTTTAGTATCTTGAGTACCTGACAGATTTCCTAGTTCATGGTGCATTCTCAGCAAAATATTTATTGAACAATGACTCTTCACACAAGAGTGGGGAAATTAGATAGGCTTCCTTCCACTTCTACTACCTCCTTTTATGGCCCTGCTACACCCGGGTCCAAGGGAATACAGGGATGGGGAAGGCAACCAGAGACTGAGAGGAGCATTAAAAAGCCAACTGCCTTCCCAACCAGGCCCGTCAAGCTGCCTTATACCAGCTGTTTGAAAAGGAGCATCAGCAGTACCAGCAGGAGCTCAATCAGATGGGCAAAGCTTTCCATGAGGAGAGACTCTGACACCGCCTAAACACTGCTCTTCCCTCATGCTGCCATCCCAGCCTCCAGTCTCTTCTGTGGGCTTCCCAAAACACACCTGGCTAGGACCTAATAAATATTACCCCTTTTTCACTGTCTCGTGAACTCAATGTTGCCCCTGAAAACAAGAGTGACGCCTTGTGGTCAGCATGGGAAATGCAGTATTGTAAGGGGAGAGAATGCACAATGTCTGGTTTTTAAAAAATCAGAATTGGTTTAACAAATAAAGCATACTCTTAAAAGTTTAGATTTAGCTGGCAGTGGTGGCGCACGCCTTTAATCCCAGCACTCGGGAGGCAGAGGCAGGTGGATCTTTGTGAGTTCAAGACCAGCCTGGTCTACAAGAGTGAGTTCCAGGACACAGAGAAACCCTGTCTTGGGAGGGGGGAGGTTAGATTTAGACCACAGGGTTTCTTATCACCCCTGAGTCTTGGTTTGTTCATGGCTGCCATAATCTTACTTCCTAAACTCTGAGCACTGCTTCTGCACAGGCTGGTTTTGTGTGTCAGCCTGACACAAGCCAGAGTCATCAGAGAGGAAGGAGCCTCAGTTGAGGAGATGCCTCCATGAAATCCAGCTGTTAGGCATTTTCTCCTTCAGTGGTTAATGGGCAAGGGTCCATCCATGGTGGGTGGTGTCTTGCCTGGGCTGGTGGTCCTGGGTTCTATAAGAAAGACTGAGAAAGCCATATGGAGCAAGCCAGTAAAGTAAGCAGCACCCCTGCATGGTCTCTGCATCAGCTCCTGTCACAACTTCCTGCCCTGTTTGAGCTCCTGTGCTGACTTCATTTGTTGATGAACAGCAATGTGAAAGTATAAGCTGAATAAACCCTTTTCTCTTCAACTTGCTTTTTGGTCATGGTGTTTTGTCCCAGCAGTAGAAATGCTAAGACAGCCTCAGGCCTTGGTTTCACTGATACTTTCTGAATTCATGAACAAATAGCTTTAAACATGGCTATTAATCTATAGGCACTGTGTTGCTTGAGTATGGGCGAGGGGCTGAATTTTATGTTTGAAAGTCATCTCATTATTGTGAAAACATGAATTAGCCTCTTCTAGGCCTGAATTCCTACTCCTACTCTACAAACCTGAGAGGATTCCATGCTTAATCCCTTCAGGCATTGAGTGTGCAATGCAGCAGGTGTTAAGTGTCAAGTGGTGGGCTTGAGGGGCTGGAAAAAGCATGTCCATTCTCAAGGTCTTTGACATTGAAACTCCTTGAAAATAGTAACATATGTGCCTGTAGGCCACAGGAAACAAATAGCATTCACATTCGCTGCTGTGAGAATATGCCCTCTGATGTAATTTCTAATACTCTCCCCTAAACTCCCACCTTTCATCAGTACTGTCATTGGTCACTCATCTGTGCCGTAGGATTTTTTCCTACCCTCCGCTTCATGTGGCTTTGTCTCCACTGCAAAACTCTCATTCCCTCCCCCTCCAGTCTGCCTCTGTCCTTAGTCTCTCATCAAAGCCTGCACTTTTCATTTAGCTGTTGGAAACTAGTTTCTGCCCCTCCACTTTCCACTCAGGAAGACCATGGAGAGGCAACAGGTACAAAGAGAACAGCACAGTCTACAGGTATAGGGTCACAATATTGGACCCTCCTCTGGAGAGGACAGACCAGCTAGGATTGTCTTCAGGATTAAACAGGTAAGTAGGTAAGGAGCACAAGCCCAGTGATTGGCCGAAAATAGCCTCCTGTTTTCCTGGAATCCAGGCCTTGACTTGGTAGTCCTGTGGCTAACCCACATCCATCTCAATGCCATTGTTTATCACACACTTTTCCCTCTTCCCTCATCACCACTGCTTCCTAATCCCTCATTGGTGACCAACCATGAATACTGACATCAAATGAAATGGAGCTCCCAGGCTGGTAAGGAAAGCAGGCTGTGAACAGTAATTACAGATGGAGTGTGAGTTTTGTAGGAGATGAAGCCACAAACACCTCACCTGGATTCGACAACAAACAAGACGGAATTTCCATTCCTTCCTTCCATTTGTTCCTGGCCTGTGTTAGTCTGATCTAAACCATCCTCATCTCTCTCTGAGCTTCCTTCTTTCTTACCTGTCTCCTGGGCCACCTGCTTATTCACAGTTAGTATGGCCTAGAGTTAAGAGAATAATGGACAGATTTGGTTTTCAGTCTTTGCCCTGCTACTTACTAGGTGTTTGGCCTGATGCACATTTTAATATTGGGGGCTTGGGTGGGGCAGTTTGCTGGAGAAATGGCTCAGTAGTTAAAAACACTGGCTACTCTTGCAGAGAACCCAGATTGGAGTCCTAGCATCCATATGGCATCTCACAATTGTTTCTAACTCCAGTTCCAGAAGACCCAGTGCCCTTTTCTGGCCTCTGCAAGTACCAGGCATGCACGTGGTACACAGGCAGACAGACATGCAGACAAAACACCCATGCACATGAAATATTTTTTAAGAATTTAAGTCTGGCCAGGCATTGGTGGCACATGCCTATAATCCCAAAACTTGGGAGGCAGAGGCAGGCAATCTCTGTGAGTTCGAGACTAATCTGGTCTACAGAGCAAGTTCTAGGACAACCTCCAAAGCAATACAGCAAAACCCTGTCTCAAAAAACCAAAACAAACAAAAAAGGACTTAAGTCTGAATTTTGGTTGCTGGTTTATAAAATGGAAACAATCTCTAACTTATTGGGTTGCCATGGGAACAAATCACATTTAATAGGTAATATAAACAGGAAGCCATAACACTATCTTGCTACTCAATGACACTTTCTCTCCTTATTCCCACTCCCGCTATGCTCTATAATTTCTCTGTTCATTTGGACTCAATGGATGCTCCATCCTCTCTGACCTTGGCCGATTACCTCAGGGCTTGTCAGTGCCATGCTGGCTCCATTATTGGCAGGTTGGCCATAATCACACCCATCTTCCCCGACCACCCTGCCAGTTCTGTGTGCTCTTATCACACCGCTCAATTGTGCCCCTCCAGCCCCTGTTGCTGCCATAGCTGATGTTATACCCTGGTCTTGTGGCGTAGAAGGACTTAGACCTATTTGAAATAAATGCACAAAACTAAAAACAAAAACAAAAACAACCCACAGAACTCGGTGAGAAGGCACAGTGGGTAAAGGTACTTGCTGCCCGGCCTGATGATCTGAGACTGACTGAACAACCCACACAGGTAAGAAGAGAATAGACTCCTAGAAGTTGTCCTCTGACCTTAACATAGACAGTGACACAGCCACACACAAAAATACAAAAGTGTAGTTTAAAGAGAAAAAAAAAAAAGACTGCTTTTATTAAGCTTCGTGCTTCCTCCTAATTGTACCATCCAAAGTCTTCCTCCACACACCAATATTCCTGCCTTCCATTGCTCCTCTAGTAGCCTAAACACTAATGTTTTCAATGCTTTTTTGATCTTTCGAGAGAGGGTCTCTCCTTGTAGACCTGCTGTCCTGAGCTCACTATGAAGACCAGGCTAGCCTCAAACTCAAAGATCTGCCTTGAGTTCTGGGATTAAAGTCGTGCACCACCATCAGGCAAATCTCCCATTCTTGCTAGTCCCTGTCCAGCCTCTCTTCTTCCTCCTCTGTTTTCCCATTGTGGCTAAGGCTTCAGGGAAAAAAAAATAGAACTTGAATGGTGAGAGTTAAGAGTAAATGGAGGGCAAGGATGTAAATATTCCATATACACGTGTACACAAACATTGGGAACTATAGAAGAGAAAAGACAATGCCACAAGTGCCTATCTTGTGATGTAGGCCCATTTGTTAGTCTTTCCCTGGAAGGCAAGTGCCACACAATTGGAATTGACTGAGCATTGGGACAAGCTATTGATCTTGATCAAAGTCACTGTGGATTGGGTGTATGGGGGAGGGAGGTGTCAGGATTAATGGGAGCAAGGACACATGGAACATGCCTGGGGACTGATAGAAAGTGTCCTCTCACCCTCACTACACTTCTATAGAGGTCCCACACCCTCTATGCAGCTATAACTTGGGCTCCTTTCTGCCACAGTTAATGAAACAACCACCTGCCAAATGATGCTCCACAGACCCAATTCTCTCCAAAAGGAAGAAGAAGAAAAAAAAAAAAAAAAAAAAAAAAGAACAGGTTGAAGGTTGAATCCCCGTGAAGGAAGAGCCTTGGAGAAAACAGCCCAGGAGCTCTGGTGACAAAAAGCTGCAGAAAAGAAGGGGGTCCTGAGGGCTACAGGCCACTTCCTGGCAGAAGCCATTCCTCATGCTTTTGATCTAAGCCTTAGTTTCAGTTTAACCATTCAGGAGAAGCTGCCTGGAGCCCAGGCTGAAGCCTGTGAGTGAAACAGCTTTTCTGTTCTGGACATCCAATGATAACTGGAAGGAGGATGCCTAAGGGCCTGAGGAGAGACAAAGCAGATGTCGTCAAAAAGGAGCAGCCCAGCACTTCAGAAGTCCCGGTGACTACCGTTTACAGTACTAGGAGCTGTGAAGTTGCTGTCCACTAAGAAGGCCAAGAAGTCTCAGGGGAAAAATCTGGGAAGGTTAGAAGTTTGCTTGGAAAGGGAAAGCAGAATATATGCAAACCCCTAACCCTGCCCCCCAAAAAGCCCTGGGCAGCTCAGATGGCACTGAAGGGCAGGTGGCAAAGCTGTTGAGGAGCTGTTGACACCGGTGATCCTCTGGAAGCTGGTGCTGTCACACAACAGGGTGAATGAAGCTCCATATGGGAGCGTTGGGAAATGGTAAGTGCCCGGATGTGAAGCCCTGCCCAGCGTTCTTGCTTTAGGCAATCATGGTCCAGCAGACACTGGACACAGTGGAAGAAGGGCTGTGGCAGGAATGGCATGAAGGACAGATGAGTAAGAATGTGTTTTGGGAGGGGAAGAGCAAGGGGCAGTGCCCTTGAAGAAGATGGGTTTCCATCTGTACATGACTAGGCTCTGATTTGTCTTCCCTGACCAAAGCTCGCCTGCCTGCTTCTGTGTGATATGTTTGATATTGGGTTGTTAAATTAGGAACCAACTAAATGTCAAACATATTCTCATAGCAGTGAGGAGACTTGGCATCACCCCCTCTGCTACTTCAGTCCCTGGGACTCTGAGACTCTTGCCTCTCTTCTTTTTCTGTTTGTTTGGGGTTTTTTGTTTTGTTTTGAGACAGGGTCTCTGTGTAGCCCTGGTAGCCCTGGAACTCACTATGTAGACCAGGATAGTCTTGAACTCACAGAAATCCTCATGCCTCTGCCTCCATGTATTAAAGTCATGTGTCACCATGTGCCTGTTGTCTTTTGTTTCTTGGGTTGCTTTGTTTTGTTTCTAGAAATGTTGGCAATTGAGCCCAAGGACTCACAGATGCTAGGCAAGTCATCTACCACTAAGCTATAGCCACAGCTTGTCTGTGGCTTTCTTGTTTGTTTTACTGACTCTCTCTCCATAACTCCCCTGAAAGAGAAGTATCTGGAGCCCATGTTAACCTGGAAGGCTCACATAGAAGTGGGAGAAAGCTGAAATTTGGGGATCAACTCTATATCAATTTTGTGTGTGTGTGTGTGTGTGTGTGTGT